CAAACACAACAGTAATCTGGTAGTGATTGCACTGCTTTGGCTTTTTCAGGGTTAATTATTGTGATCTCCCAATTGCAACAGAAAAATACAAGAAGATATTTCTTTAGACTCATGGCATTTCATGCCGTTCAGCCTTATAATCTTAAAATGTCAGCAAAATGACCTGTTTTATCATCACTTTAGACATTATGCTAGAGAATCATTCAAATACCAGATCCAAAGTTACGTGAAGTAGCAACAGTTTCTGCTGTTCTGATGTCAGCTGCAAATGGGAATGTTTGGCGGAAGAATGTAGTTCCTCTTACAAAAGGGTTTTTAGACTCTCCGTGTTTGATTTTCTTTTTTATACACACGATTATGCCGTTGAATATATATACAGTTGAAGTCAGAATTATTCGCCCCCCTGTTTATTTTTTTTTATATATAGTTGAAGTCAGAATTTTTAGCCCCCCTGAATTATTCACCCCCGATTAATTTTTTCCCCAATTTCTGTTTATTAAAAAATGTAAAAAAAAATGTCAACACATTTATAAACATAATAGTTTTAATAACTCATTTCTAATAACTGTTTTGTTAACTGACATTTAAAAGCTTAACTAGGCAGGTTAGGGTAATTAGGCAAGTTATTGTAATGATGGTTTGTTCTGTTGACTATTGAAAAAAAACATAGCTTAAAGAGGCCAATAATTTTGTCCCTAAAATGGTTTTTAAAAAAATTAAAACTGCTTTTATTCTAGCCAAAATAAAACAAATAAGACTTTCCTCAAAAGAAAAAAATATTATCAGACATTCTGTGAAAATGTCCTTGCTTAAATATCAAAGTTTTAGAAATAATTTTGAAAGCTTCTATATAGTATCATTTAAATGTTTGTTTATTATCAGTTATTTTAATGCATAGAGTCAAATCAAAAGGAGAAACCTAACTATAAATAACCCAACTCATGTACATCTAGAGTGTGAGGGTTTCACAGCATTTCAGTGGCATTTGGAGTTAAAAGAAAGGTCATTGAAGCCCTGGTAGGGCTTTCAGCTTGGATCTTACTCTGATTGACCTTTCGCCGGTGGTGTTAGTTTCAGGATTTTGAAAGTTCTCCCACGCCGACCCTGTTCCCTGTAGATATCTGTAACCTTATCAGCAAACGTTCTGGCTTGCATGACCAGCTCTTAACTTGTTGTGTGTTTGAACGCCATACAGTACTTGAAGCTACTTTGGATCTTTCAGTTAACATCGACACACACTCATTCACACTCATACACTATGGACAATTTAGCTTACCCAGTTCACCTGTAGCGCATGTCTTTGGACTGTGGGGGAAACCGGAGCACCCAGAGAAAACCCACACGAATACAGAGTGTGTCGCTGGCATCCGCTGCGTAAAAATGTTCTGGATAAGTTGGCGGTTCATTTCGCTGTGGCGACCCCGGATTAATAAGGAGACTAAGCCAAAAGGAAAATGAATAAATGAGTGTACGGATGTTTCCCAGTACTGGATTGAGGCTAGAAAGGCAACCCCTGCATAAAACATATGCCTGATTAGTTGGCAATTCATTCCACTGTGGTGACCTCTGATAAATTAGATACTAAGCCATAGGAAAAGAAATGAATAGGTCAAATGGCTTTTAAACATTGTCCTGTTTGCTCTTTCCCAAAAGAAAAGTATCCAAAAGCATGTGCATGTGCGTATTTTTTAATAAAGAGCATTTATAGTGTGTGGACATACACCCAAAGCACTTCACAATCATACAAGCGTGTCTCTCCTCATCACCACCATCCACCTGGATGATGCGTCAACAGCCACAGGACAACAGCGCCTGTGCTTCACCACACACCAGCTGCAGGTGGAGGAGAGACTGTGATTCAGCCAATTCACTGGATCATTGATAAAGGCTGAGGGAGGGAATTTGACCAGGACACTGGGGTTACACCTCTACTCCTGAAGATAAGAAGTGTCTTGGGACTTTAAATGACCACAGAGAGTCGAGACCTCAGTTTAACATATCATCCGAAAGACACTATAGTTTTTCTGTCACTATACTGGGGTGCTAGGACTCACACAGACTGCAGGTAGTGTGCCCCCCGCTGGCCTCACTAACATCACTTCCAAAAGCAACCTAGTTTTCCAGTGCACTGAAAAACAATTCATTGAGTTTACTCAATTTTTTAACTGGTAACTGGTTGCAAGCAATGCATATGGACTGAATTTAAACTAACAAAATAAATGTAGTAAATCTAATGTTTTTAGTGCGTGGATTCCTAACCTGACTCAATCCTGCTCTGCTTTAGCAAGCAACCAGTGTTGAGCTACAGGGTGATATGGCTGTGGCCAAAACCAGGTGTATATAGGAGGAGCATATGCTGTAATATTTTTTATTTTGCCTGGCTGGTGGGTGGCAGGTTTCGAGCGGGTTTGGCTTTAGTAAATGATTTACTGGAATGATCTGGAAATGGCCCATGACCTATTTCCGAAGGCACCAAACCACAGTGGAGATTAAAATCATTTCTCAAAACAAAGAGGTGTACACCATAAATAATAGATTGTATTATTTCAGGCACGCCACTTGCTGTAGAAAACAGAATTGCTTTTCAAATGCAGTTTAGATTTTTAAAGGGATAGGGGAAATAAATGAATAAAATACCGTAACTATTTACTCATCCTCAAGTTCATGGTTCTAAAATGTATGATTTATTTCTGATTACAAAAGGCAAGATTTTCTGAAGAACATGGGGAGAAAGCAACCGTTGAAATCCATAGTAGGAGCAAAGAGATAAAAATACTCACTCTCTTTCAGCTTATTTTTTTATTTAACTGGAGTTATACCACAGAGGAGATGAATCAATTACTCTGGCATCTATTTTATAGGCGGATGCCCTTTCAGTTGAAACAATACAATACAACCCTGTGCTGGAAAACACCCACACCCTCTCCCATTTACACACTACAGCCACCTACAGTATACCACATGTCTTTGGACTAAAAAAAAAATTAACTGAAAAAAATACTTTAAAAGTCAGTTCATATTTTTACAACATTCTTCAGAATATCTTCCTTTGTGTTTGACAGAAGAAATAAAAGATATATATATATATATATATATATATATATATATATATATATATATATATATATATATATATATATATATATATATATACATTTTTGAACTAGTGAAGGATGGATGAGTAAATGGTGACAGAATTTTTATTTTTGGGTTAACTGTCCTGTTAAGGCAATGTGTAAATTAGTCCATTAATTATGTATGATTTATTTGGCCCAGAGCAAAGATTATGAGACTGGGGGTTTCTTTTCAATTTCATGTACGATAATGTACGATAATGTCAAAAAGTGTCACATGGATCCACAAAAACAACGAAACATTTTTGTCATGCATACTAGGCCTGTTGGTGATGCTGTTTTATAAGAAAACAAAAACATGCTGTCCTGAGAATCACAGACAGTTGAGAATTGTTATTTTGGTTGTCTAACACTCGCTCATGCTTGTAGACTAAACATGTATCACGCATGTGCATGATCAGCATTTTCATAAAATGTAATTTTTGTAATTAACACTTTTAAAAGTTGCCAAAATGCTTAAAATATAGAGCAAAAACTCCATAGTGTTGTTTTTGATATGTCTGTATTGGCCCAAAATTAGTGTTAAATCTAGACTCAGTGATGGCTATGATTAAACATTGAAGTTAAATAAGGATGGAGCAACACTTTTTTTAAGTTTATTTGTTTATTCCTTGAACAAATTCTTGTAAAATACTGAAACTTAAATGAAGGAGGAGTGGGTTTTTCCTCATTTGAATATTCTACACTCACCGGCCACTTTATTAGGTACACCTCATTAGTACCGAGTTGAACCCACTTTTGTCTTCAGAACTGCCATAATCATTTGTGGCATAGATTCAAGAAGGTAATGGATATATTCCTCAGAGATTTTGGTCCATATTGACATGATAGCATCACGCAGTTGTCACAGATTTGTCGGCTACACATCCATGATGTGAGTCTCCCATTCCACCATATTCCAAAGGTGCTTTATTGAATTGAGTTCTGGTGACTGTGGAGGCCATTGCAGTATAGTGAACTCATTGTCATGTTCAAGAAACCAGTCTGCTATGATTCAGGATTTATGACATGGTGCAGCATCTTGCTTGAAGTAACCATCAGAAGATGGGTGCACTGTGGTCAGCAACACTGAGGTCAGCAACAATACTTGCAGGCTGTGGCTTTGACACAATGCTCACTTGGTACTAATGGGCAAAAAGTGTGCCAAGAAAATATCCCCCTTTTTTCAGACCATTCACTGTAAACCCTAGAGATGGTTGTGTGTCAAAATCCTTGTAGATAAGCAGTTTGAAAAACTCACACCAGCAGGTCTGGCACCAACAACCATGCAACGTTCAAAGTCAGTTAAATCACCTTTCTTCCCCATTCTGATGCTCAGTTTGAACTGCAGCTGATCATCTTGACCATGTCTACATGCCTAAATGCATTGAGTTGCTGCCATGTGTTCGGCTGATTATAAATTTGTGTTAATTAACAGTTAGACAGGTGTACCTAATAAAGTGGTCGGTGAGTGTAATTTTTTGTGGAAAAATGTTGCTAAATGTTACACACAGGGCAGGCTTTGTTTATTTAATATGAACTAGTGTGTGTGATACCTCCCTTATATATTCATATATATATATATATATATATATATATATATATATATATATATATATATATATATATATATATATATATTTTTTTTTTTTTTTTTATATAATATATATAACCATAATATATAACCATAATATGAATGCAACATAAACCAAAGAAATATAAGAAGCGAAAAAACCCCCAATAAAAACCAGACATAATGTCACAAAACAGAATACTCAAGCATGCATACCTGTTTTTCTCATTGCAGCAGATCTTTCTATGCGAGCTAATCTTCGAGTCTAGCATTCACCTTATTTTTCAACAGTGATTCTGTTTCTCTTCTCACAGGAAGATGAGATGCCAGAGGAAGTAAACATTGATGAGCTGCTAGATCTACAGAGTGATGAAGAAAGGACACAGAAGCTTAAGGTACCTGTTGTCTGGAATACTGAAAACATCAGTGCTCCTTGTCACCATTACATTGTGTGTTTAAATCAGCTTTATGGAACAGGTCATGCAGAAATTATTACATTTTGTAATAACAAGCCAGAGGGTTTGGGAACAAAATGAGTATGTTTGGCAAACTACTGAGTTTTCCTGCAAGATCCATCCCAAACCTTGCTTTGCTCAAAATTACCATTGAATTACCATAGGGTATTAAATATGCTATAAAAGTAAACTTACCTTGTCTAGCCAGCAGTGAAAGCAGAATCAAAGCATCATAAACCATTATGGAAGACCGTAGAAATTTAGTTTTAGCAAGAAAAGAGTCTGCATTACTTTTTTAAAATTAAAAATACCTTGCAATTTTTTTGTAAATGGAATATTGCAGTATTTACTATAAACTATTTATCGATGGTGCATATAATCTTATTTTAAACATGCACCTTCTATATTCAAAATAGCTCCTGCAATGTGATTTTTTTACTAGCACAAGAGAGTAACAACCTGTCAATAACAAGAAATCCACCAATAACAAACCATAACCATCCAATAATTTCTAGATGGACCAAACCGAGTCCCGCTCTACTTTGTTTTTTTCAATTAGGTGAATGGAAGGAAATGGGAAAGAAAGCACTACCGCAACATCTGTTTGGTGCCAGACTCATTTTTAATCCCTGATTTCTATTCGTTACAGGACATCCTTCATGCCTGCAGTAACAACACAGAAGTAAGTCTGTCTCAGCCTCTACCACTGTTCTGCTATACAGTATGTTATCATCACACAGTAGGAAATAAACATGACCTGCCATTGTCAAATCCTTATATGCTCGCACAGTAGTATTAATGTCAAAATAACTCCATGCAGAGTTTATAGCATATGTAACAGCCACGTTTTTCTGTCATCATTTCCTCATTCTCCACTTGTTCCAAACCTGTTTGCATTTCTTTCTTCTGTTGAAACTGAAGGAAGATATTCTGAAGAATGTTGGAAACAAGCAAACATCGACTACAATTTTTCTCCTACTATGCATGTCAATAGCTGTTTTGACTTCTTTTGAGTGAAATGGTACACACAAATTGTGAGGAAAGTTTCATTTTTAGATAAAATATCACTTTAACACTAAAATATATTCATTTGATTAAATGAATCATACATCTGTTTAGCTAATTTGGACAGCATAAACTGCTGAAGTATAATATGATTCTTAGAATGCGGATGAAATATGATTTAAGTAACTTTGTGCTGATCTGGGATTATCATGCACAATCATTTCTAGTGTTTGCAGAAAATGGTCTGTAAAAGAGAAAATATCTGATAATTGGCAGTTCTGTGGGTGAAAGTGCCTTATCGATGTTAGAGATCAGAGGAGAAACAACATACATGATCTATTCCAAACTTGTATCAATGATTAATTGTTATTAGTGGTGTAATAGAGTAAGGGATATTTTCTTGGCACATTTTGAGCTCCCTATTTCATCATTTCAACACCAAAGTATACCTGAATATTGTTGCTGACCTGTGTCTAGTCCTTCATGACCACGGCTTATTCTTGTGATGTCTACCTCCAGCATGATAACACACACCATGTCATGACACAAAACTCATGTCAGAATTTAATGAACATGACATTAGTATTAATATTACTCAAATGGCTTCCAGTCACCCTATCTCAATCCATCAGAGCACCTTTGGATGTGCTGGAATGGGAGATTTGCATCAGAAATGTGCATCCAACAAATCTGCCGCAACTGTTTGTGATGTTGCTGTACAATGCATCTAGAAAGTATTCATAGCGCTTCACTTTTTCCACTTTTTTATGTTACTGCCTTATTCCAAAATGGATTAAATTAATTAATTTCCTCTTGCAGTACCTCTCAAGCTCTATCAGGTTGGGTGGGAAGTGATGGTTGTATAGCCATTTCCCGATCTCTCTAATGATGTTTAATAGGATTTAGGTCTGGGCTCTGGCTGGGCCACTCAAGGACATTCACAGAGTTGTTGTGAAGCCACTACATTGATATTTTGGTGGTGTATTTTGGGTCATTGTCCTGCTGGAACCGTCGCTCCAGTCTAAGGTCGAGAGCACTCTGAAGCAGGTTTTCTTTCAGGACGTCTCTGTACATTGCTGCATTCATCTTTCCCCCTATACTGACTAGTCTTCCAGTTCCTGTTGCTGAAAAACATCCCCACAGTATGATGCGGCCACCACCATGCTTCACTGTTGGCATGCTATTAGCCTGGTGATGAGCGGTGCCTGGTTTTCTCCAAACATAACGCCTGACATTCACTCCAAAGAGTTACATTTTAATCTCATCAGACCAGAGAATTTTGTTTCTTATGGTCTGAGAGTCCTTCAGATGCCTTTTGGCAAATTTTAGGCGGGTAGTGGCTTCTGTCTGGCCACTCTACCATACAAGCCTGATTGGTGGATTGTTGGTTGTCCTTCTGTAAGGTTCTCTCTCTATAGAAGAACACTGGAGCTCAGACAGTGACCATTGTGTTATTATTCACCTCCCTGACCAAGGCCCTTTTCTCCCAATCATTCAGCTTAGATGGCCGTCACGCTCTAAGAAGAGTCCTGGTGCTTCCACACATCTTCCACTTACGGATAATGGAGGCCACTGTGCTCATTGGAACTTTTAGAGCAGCAAAAAAATTTCTGTAACCTTCCCCAGCCTTGTGCCTCGAGACAATCCTGTCTCTGAGGTCTACCGACAATTCCTTTGTCTTCATGCTTGGTTTGTGCTTAGACATGCACTGTCAACCCTGGGACCTTATATAGACAGGTGTATGCCTTTTCAAATCATATCCAATCAACTGAATCTCCCATAAGTAAACTCCAATTAAAGCTGCAGTCACACTGCACTTTTCTCCCCATAGACATCTATTTATGCGCACACAAATGCTTCAGACCGGAAACTCAAGCTCCTACGACAGGATTTACAGTTCACTGCATTGGAAAGTTCAAGCTTGGTGAACTCTGACCTGCGAAAACGCAACACATGATTGCGTGAGACCAATTGAAAATCTAAACATGACCTCTCTGGACAGAAATTTAAAACAAACCAATCGCTAGCTTTTTTTTAACATCTAATCATCTTGTTTAATCTTGCCCCTGTTGGCAACACCATACAACAGAACTTCGCAAGCTCAAACTCTAGTGTAACCAAAGCAAAAGCTGCTGAAACATCTCAAGAATGATCAGTGAAAACAGAATGTACCTGAGCTCAATTTAGAGCTTTATGACAAAGGCTGTGAATACTGATGTACATGTGATTGTTCAGGTTTTTAATTTTTTTTAAATTCACTACAATTTCAAAAAATCTTTTTTTCACACTGCGATTATGGGGTATTGTGTGTAGAATTTGGAGGAAATAAATTAATTTAATCCATTTTGGAATAAGGCTGTAACATAACAAGGTGTGGAAAAAGTAAAGCGCTATGAATACTTTCCAGATGCACCGTATCATCTCATTACAGACTAAAATCTCTCTTTGCTGAGTCTATGCCACAAAAAATTTCAATTATGTTATTAGTTGCTCACCCTCACCTCATTTAAATCCCATGCGGTCTTAATTAATCTTCAGATCACTAATTAGGATATTTTAGATGAAATCTGAGAGCCCACTGAAAGCAATGTTCCAGAGATGTTCAGCAAAGTCTAGAAAAAGAACCAAAACATCCATTGTTTCTTTAGTGGTTCAACTGTAATCATACAAAGCTCCAAAACATTTTGGTCACCAAAAACATGTCATTATGAATCTGTTCGCCTATATCTTCTCTTCCATGTCAGCTCAGGATGTGCATTTACGAAAGGCACGTATTTATTAAAAGACTTATTGCAATTAGTCGGTAGTGCAACACAAAACAACAACCCGTAATATTGCCTGTATCATAGTAAATGTACACCCTGATCTGATGTGGAAGACATAGGCAAAGTTTTTTTTTGTTCTGGGAGATTCGTATTACAATTGAAGTCACATGGACATTTTTTACTTTTTTGGCCCCTTTTTTATTGTGAATATCTCTAGACCATTGCTGCCAATTTAGGACCAGAGAGATCTTAAAATCTTAATGTGTGTTTCTATGAAGATTGGAGGTCTGAGGGAATTGAAACGACACAAGGGTGAGTAATTAATAATAAAAAATCTATTTTGACTGAATTAACACTTTAAAGCAGATCTGTAGGTGAAATAATGTCCAACCTGGTACTAGCAGTTTTGTAGTCAATCTCTCTGTCGCACTCCTGTATACTGTAACTGTCAGTATTGATGAATAGACAAAAAAACTTTATTAAAACATGTTGGTGTTGTTGGATATCTGGACATGAGGTCAAAACAGTTGTACTTCCTGAACATTATACCAACATAAAATACAAAAAACAAAAATAAAAAAACATGATTGCTGGTATAATCTTGAAATTTATTTTTTAAAATCACAAACATTAACATTGTAACATTTTACTTTAATTTTGAGGTTTTTGTTTTTTAGATTGCATCTTGTTCATAACAAACTTTATCTTCATCTTCCTCATCGCTCCACATAATGTCCACATCTGAGATATTTATCCGCTATACGCTCAAGAAGGTCAAGGTATATTTTGCATATGAAATTGTTTCAGCAATGAATGAGTACATCAATATAGTTTTTTATATGAAAACGTTCAATCATCATTACTGGAGATTTACTTTCAGTTACAGATCTTAAACCAATTGTACATCCTAATAAGCAGACATATTTGAAAAAAATCTTGATCTAAAGCTTGCAATGTGCCAAAAGATTTTAAAATGTAATTAGTAAGCGCAATCTCTCTTTTTTACATACACTCTATGAAATATTGGTAAACATATCAATAAATATGAATAAAAACATTTTAAATGTGGCTTGCGTCTGTGTGAAGTAATGTTGTCAAATTACAACATGCCGAGCCTTACTCATATTTGATTTTATGACATTCTCCCACTCTCAAAGACTGCAGGCTTTAAATTAGATGAAATGCTCAGGAACCACAAAAACACAGTCTGACATGTGATGTCCATTGTAATGGACACAGGATCCGATGGTGTTAGGGCAAATGATGTAGTGACAACAACCACCAGCAGGGGGCTAAAAAGACGACGCTAACCAAACAATATCACTATCCTCTGCTGCCCTCTGTTGACAAAGTCAATACTAGGATTTGCTGACGTTGTTTTCCTTTAGTTAACACATATTGCTCTTCGTTCTCCTTAGGTCTTCATCACAGAGCTGGTGAAGAAACTTCACGGTTTGCAGAAACAAGAAGATCTCCACAACAATGGGATCGAACATCCTCAGCTTCACATCTTCCCGGAGCGCCAGGGCTCTTCTGACAGCGAGATACACTGAGCAGTCGTTCACAGCTCACTGTCAAGGCATCAGCAGCACATATTGTTGTTTTTGGTTTTGTATATGAACAGATCGACAAAAAAAAAAAAAAAAAAAAAACATAAATTATTTATGTAAAAACCTTGCTTAAAGATTAGAGTACAACACTGAGTTACTGACCACTGCACGGACCTAAGACAATGGTCATCATAATTTAGAAGTTTTTAATATGAATGAGTCTTAATTGTTAAATCAGTTGTACTTTTCCTTCAGTGAACAGGTGTATTGTTCTTTTAGGTAATTATTTATACTTGTGTAACCCATTTAAATGTAATATTCAAGTTTTAAGTTCCTTATTAAATATTGACACATAAAGGATTTTTTTTTGTCATTATGCTTGTATGTTATACAAGTTTTCCACAAATGGACCAAAGAGTAATATGGCAAGATTCTTTTGAGATATTGAGTTAAATATTTTACTGTCGTGTTGTTTATATCTGTTGTTGGATTTTGTAGGATGAAATTATTTTCCAGAAAAAAAGTTTTGCTAAATTTAACATGATTCATTAAAAATGATGGCTCAAGCTTTTGCCCAGTAGATATGAAAAACTTTCTGACAAAACCATGAGGTATTGTTATTATGTTTGCTGCTATATTATACTCAAGCTGATCAAATTTACTGCTTGTTTGAAGAAAATGACACTTTGTGAAGGATTTAAGTTTTTTCTTCTTCAGATCTGTATTTTTAGTTTGTGTAATGCACCGCTATGTTTGTTTGTACAGAGTTTCACGATATCTCGAATGCTTTTATTTACTGTTTTCAGTTAATTTGCTTGCAGTTAAAGGTTTTTGAAATCCGAGTTCCTGTGCACAACAAAGTTTTACCCATTGGACGAAAAGATTTTTTAAAAGATGAATATTTCAATTAAGCAAAAAGTAATAACAGGTTTTTATGTTTTTTTGTATCACTAATAATCAAGCAAACGAACACAGTAATAATGCTGTAAATAGCCTGTTATATCTTTGTGAAATAAAATAATAACAATACATCCTCTGAATGTCTTCACTTCATTCTTGTTAGTAATGATAATGTATGTTTACTAACACATCAATGTAAGCAGCTGTTTAAATTTCTAACATTCATCTACATTCATTTTACACACATTCATTCATTCATTCATTTATTCATTTCCTTCGGCCTGGTCCCTTTACTCATTTAATATTGCATTTACAAAATTAATGCAGGATAATAATGTGTAAGTATCAATCAATTTAAATATGGGGAATCAGCATTGTTTCAGGATAAAAAAGTAAGCATGAGTGTAACAAAGTTTAAGCTGTCATTTTTTTTAAACAGCAGAGGGCAGCAACACATTTATGCATGTCAAATCTATTTTGAGCTATTTTGGTTACACAAGCTATTGTGTATGTTATTGCATAACATGAATGTCTGATACACAAACAATTTGATCTAAAAGATAGAAATAGTTAGAAGATATTTTCAGTATTCATCTTTCAAAAACAACTAGACAACCACTCAAGCAGCAAAGTTGTTTGTTGAAAAAAAAACACCATTCGTGAGTTTAAACTCTGTGCAAAGTTAATATATATTGTAAATGAAAGTACAAAATTGATAAATTGACACTGCATATTAGTAGAAAAGACAAATGAATATACCAAAACGGAAAAAGAAAAACAATTATATTAATATTTAATAATAATTTCTCATGTATATGAATACACTGTCAAACCCAACAGTCAACTTTATCAAATGAAATGAGTGTATTTAACTCAAGATTTACTGAAAGTTAATTCTACTCATTTGAAAAGAGTTTTGAACTCAGTGTTGAAGGTAATGAGTTAATTAAATACCTCATTCCTTCAACTTTGGATTAAGTTCACAGTACTCATATAGATTAGCTTTTAATTCATATGGTTTGTTGCAATTGGTTTCCTCAAACAGTTTGAGTTGCCTTAACTTATCAGGTTTTACAGTACACAGTTGGTTTGAGTTCTCTATCTTTACTGGGTTTTACTGTGCTCAGATTGCTTCATTTACTCATATGGATTAAGTTCACAGTACTCATTGGGATTAGTTTTTGAACTTAAATAGTTTGTTGCAATCAGTTTCTTCAAACGGTTTGAGTTACCTTAACTTTTGGGGTTTTACAGTGTATTAATAGACTATATGACAATACCTTTACCATTGATAATAAAAAAATAATAATAATAATAATAATGACAAAAACACAACAGAATCAGTTGGTCGAATTATTTCAAACAGCGATGTCATGCCTGTTCCCATGACGTGAACAACATAAATAGCCCTCATTACCACAGTGGTGATCAAAGCCTCTATGGATCCGTGGGTCTAATACAATGCTGAGTCTCGCTGTAAGAAAACAAAGCAAACCACCCCTCGCCGAGCTGCGCAGGTGCACTCGTTGACCCGGGCACAGCAACCCCGACATATCTGCCCTGCTTATTTCAACCCACAGTTGGGAAAACACCTTCAGATGTGTTGTAGGCCTGAGAGGAGGACTAGCATCAACAAACAAGGCCGAGACAAAAGACAGAAGACTCAGGACAGAGAACTCACTTCCCTCACGCCAAACACCAGCGCTGACCAAAAGCCATAAACACGAATAATTGCGAGTGTAGGATAAATCAAGATAAGCTTACATGGTTTTTATAACATGTAGCACCTGTTACATAGACTAGTTCAGTCCAGAATTTGTAGTTAATTTACTTACCCTCGGGTCTATGAAATAAACCAACTGACCTGTGTAAGCAGTCCATAAACTTCTGGGCCCCAAGCTAAATTTGTAAGGAGTCAACTGTTGGTCCATTCTAAACTTTTTTAAAAATCCTTTCAGGAAGGGATGCTTAAACTTTGGCTAATAAAGGGCCAAAAACCAAACTTGATTGAGAATGGTGGGCTGAAGGTACACACCATGAAGCTTCTTTGGTAATTTTCTAATGTTTTATTATTCAACAATAAATAGAAAAATTACTTTATTCGTATTAATATTGTTTTTTACATTTTATAATGAACTTATAATAAAAACATACAAACACTTTAACACCACGGTGTTCAATGCCACATAAGTCAAGCTGCACTGCCTTGTGTATTAACCTCTATCTTCAAGCGACAGCATTTACATATTTAAAAATCTCATTTTAGATTTTTTTTTGTTTTGTTTTTTTTTGGCTCAACATTTAAACAAACAAATAAACAAAAGGTTAAATTAGAAAATCATAGGTTACCATAAGCAAACTTTGGCCCGCAGGCCCTATTTTGGTCATCTCTGACTTAAAGGTATAGTTAACCCAAAAAGGAAAAAAAAAAAGATATAGCAGAAGAAGATATTTTGAAGAAGCTGATAACATGTAATAGTAGAAAAAACAAATATGGAAGTCAATACATACACATTTTCAGCTTTCTTTAAAATATTTTCCTCTGTGTTTTACCAAAAGAACGAAAGCAGGTTTGGAACAAGTTAAGGGTTAGTAAATGATGACAAAATTTTCAGTTATGGCTGAACAATCACTTTAAGACTAAAATAAATAGTAGAAAATTGATGAAAGAATTAAGTTTATTGCTGCTCATTGCTATTTTTACAACAACAACAACAACAACAACAACAACAACAACTGATATAATACAATATTATGTGGCTTTTGGTTGTAATTTTCCATCAATGCTGCAATCAAATTAAAGGATTAGTTTACCCAAAAACAACAATTCTGTTATTAATCACACCTTCTCATGTTATCCCCATTCCCAGAAACTTTTACTCATTTTCGGAACACAAATTAAGATATTTTAGATGACAGATATAGAGAGCGCCTCATCCTAGACAGCAATGGTCCAGAGAAGTTCTAAAAGTCCAGAAACGGAGCCAAAAACTTTGTCGAAACATTATATCTGACATTAGTCGTTCAACTGTAATCAAACAAAGCTCCAAGGATCACTTTTGCGTGATTGAAAAATCCCCAAAACTGTGTTCACCAACAGTACTGCCTATCCTGCATCAGGTAGGGGTGCATGTTAACTAAGAGCAGGTGGAATCCAGGTAGCAAAGAATTCTTGCCCAGATTTGGCGTAAACGGCATGTTCAGCATGGCCCTGGTTTGACAGAGGTGGCACCGTCTTTAAGGCAGCACACAATGCTTGCGCCAGTTGTACATTGTAGCATGTGTACATTGTGGCCCATATGGTAATAATTGATATGAAGGCCATGAAAGTTTGGCCTATCTTGACCCACAGTTATAATACGTTTTATTATTTTTGCTTCAAGAAAAGTTCAATGATTCATGGGTTAATAGTTATTAACTTGGCTAAGACTTGGCACAGATACAGTTCATGTTTGGCCACTGTCTGAAAGCCAGACTTGGTCCAGTCATGTACCGTAACTCACTGCGGCATGTAGGCCAAGCAAAAGCTGATTGAGTGGGTCAGAGCTGGACCAGAGAAATTGATATGTGGGCCATTTAAGTTTGGCCTGTATTGACACACATTTAAAATACATTTTATTATTTTCGCTTCGAGAAAAAGCACGCCTAAAGCACAAAGATTCATGGGTTCAATTTCATTGCAGTCATGACACACCAACATACTGTATCTGGGCCATTTCAGGCTCAGTTATGGGTTATTAACTTATTTAATACTTGGCCCCATTATGGTCCATGTTTGGGCCTTGTCTGAAAGCCAGACTTGGTCAAGTCATGTACCGTAATTCACTGCGTCATGTGGGCCAAGCAAAAGCTGATTGTGTGTGCTAGAGCTGAGCCAGAGATGTTTTGCTACGTGGTAAGTGTTGCCATTAGAGTCAGCAGTGCAACATGCAATCATCCTACCCATAGTAAACATGCACGCTGATCTGACAGAAGACAAGGGCAAACAAAGTCATATTTGCAGTTTTATTCTGTGCATAAAAGTGTTCTTGGAGCTTCGTATGATTACAGTTAAACTACCAAAGTCTCATATTTTGACAATGTTTTAAATTCCTTTTCTGGACTTTGAATGTCTAGTGATCATTGCTGTCTGTGTAGGGTAAAGAGCTCTAGGATTTCACTTAAAATGTCTTAATTTGTATTCCAAAAATGAACGAAGCCATTTGGTAAACTAACTCTTTAAGATCATAACCACTGGATTTAATTTTGTTTTGCCTGCATATGACCACCAAAATGCTATTATTCGTTGACTTAAAACCATGAGTACCATGGTTTTAGCTAAAACAAATTCTTCAACAATGTTCAACTCCAGCAAAACATCTCATCTGGATGACCTGAGGGTGAGTAAACTTACACAGTAAACTATGCATGATGACAAACCTTCTTCTTCTTGGTTCCTACTGCTGGTAAGACTTTCTCCAGCAAGTGGATGCAATGAGGCCAGTTTTGTTGTCAATTCCTTTGATGCATGACATTCAGTCCATGCCAGTCTATAACAAAAAAACACTGCATCACATCCACGCCTCTGTGAGTAATTAGAGGAGTCATAGTGCCACTGCCCATGATCCCAGAGGCCCAAGTGGTGGTGGGGGAAGCTCAGAGCTGGTGGAAAGGAAAGGGGATGGCCGGCTTCCTGAGGAAAAAGCATCGTCTTATGCGCTCCAAAACAACTCAGGAAGTGACCACAGCTAGTCCCGGGCTTCAGACGCGCATTCAGTTGGACGACATCACATGTATGGTCAGTTGCTCTCTGAATCGGACACTTACTGCCTGACAAACCAACACAAAAACACACACAGATATAAAGCCGCTGGGACACTGGGATGTCCCTGCTCTGAGACTTTTAGGGATTTACCATCGCTTTGCTGCCAAACAAGGTAAGGGGAATGTTTTTTGCTTTGACAGTTCTTTCAAACATTTGACTGGTTAGAAAGCCTGTTGTGACATGTGGAGGACAGTTAAGTGCTTCAGTAGTGGTGGTTTTAATGTCATAAGTTTTACTTTCAGCTGTTCTTCTGTTATTTATTATGGCCAAAGAAGGTTATTCAGATGTTTTGATGAGCTGAGGGGATGCTGTATTGGTCAAGGATAT